CTGATCCTCTCAGCGAGAGAAATTCTAGTTGACAACAGCCCTGTAACCCATTTTACGTCTTTCGACGTGGTTTGTTTGCTACCGTTGGAGTGATTTTGATTTCATTGCTCTAATGTGGTTGTGGATACGAACTCTTTCACCCTTTCTTGACAATCATTTTCTTATGAATTTTTGGACCTGCTTTTTCAGCTGATTCAGTACACTCAGAGATTTGACTATTGAAGCGGAACCTCTGTGAAAGCGTCTGGTATATTTTCGAGAGCTTCCCATTTTCTAAAAGTGTCCCAATCGGATATTCTTGTAAATGAAGTGTAATGCATTTCGTTTGTCTGGGTCAGAGTCTCTATCTAAGTACGTTATCTAACAACGATAGTTACTTACCAGGTATTTTGTTAGCTTATTGAGTTGGGCTCAGAACGTTAGCGGAATGTCCCATGGCTGGCTTACTTTTCCAATTCCAAGACCTTCGCTTTTTGTTTGGATATTCCTAATGCCGGTTTATTTGCATATACGCTTCGATCAAGAGTTATTCAAGTTGATCGTGAAGACGGCTGCCACCTTTATGCGTGGGAGAGTTTGGCGTGATGAATTACTCATGATGCAGGGTGGGTATGGAATGAAGTCTACGTAACAGAGGTCCTCCTTGTGGGGATGAACACGGTCTTCTTTACCTCGGTTAGTTTTTAGGGAGTAAATGTCTGATCGGAGTAGTGAAAGATGGCTTCCGTGATCATTTCTTCCCCGAGTGGTCTAAGTAGTCCTAGTCCCTAGCATTTCGAATGGAATTTGAGTGTGGAGCGCGCGAGGTTCCTTATGTATGCATATTTTTGTTGATTATAAATGAGAAAGGTGGTATAGGCTGTTAAATTTTGTTACTTCATTGTTTAACAGAGCAAATTGTTGGCTAAATGGGAGGGGGAGGGGTCTTTGGATTCTATAGAAGTCGATATATTGAAGGCTTGGGTGTCGTCAGCTGTAGAGTCTGCCAACCATCGGTTTATGTACTTTTGTGTCATCATTGGTAATGAGAGGAACAAATAAGAACTAATCAATAAGTTAAGTATTGATCGAATGCGTCGTGGATGCCCTTATTCACAGCGAAAACATGGTGAGAGCGCGTGCTTTGTGATCAGTGTAGAGCTAATTAGAGACTAGGCCCAACACAGGCCCTCCCACTCAGGCTACTCCGAATCAGGCTTCCAAACAAAAGGCTAATTTACATTACATTTTTTACGCTCACGGCATGCTATAATCATGGCGATTTCTTCATTTTGGGAGGTATTTCACTCTGTAGAAACCCCATATCTTCGAATAATGTAATAGTTGAGTTTGAAGTTGGTTTTTCAAGTGTAAGGCTCCCCAAACTTTTATCGACTTTTATCTCATTCTTGCAAAAAGCTTCGATGTGGTTGCCAACTCCTTTGTTTAAAGATTTCAGGCTTTTTTCTGCATATGTCGTCTTTCCGCTGACTCATGCACTCGTCAGCTGTCCTCAGATACTCGTCATTTTTTGTTTAGAGACGTCTGCTCGGCGATCGTCTCATAGATCTGGTCGATAATCGATCTCGTGGCTTTGTGGTCTTCTGACCAAGGATCCATTGTAACGGTAGGTCCTATCTTTTTCGTGAAAATTTCGATTTGTTGTCCCTCTTTTTCCTAAATAATGAAGGTATCTCGTGGTTGTGTCTATCTCGCAACCACACACAGCAACCACGAGATACCTCACCTTGCAAGCAGCTAGCTGCCAGTTCACCAAACAAATGCTGTCTTGCAGCAGACGCGGCTAATTAAGGCATAATGTGAAGATAGAATCATTCCTTCTTTTTTCTACTTCTCTTACGACCTATACTCTTTGTGACCTTAACTTCAGTGGAAACGCCCCATTTGTTTGAAGGAACCGAAGTTGGTTAGGGTGGCCCGATCCCTTACACACTTATGTTCTTTGTCCCAAATTTTGGTCAATGGTTTGAATTTCATAACCTCGCAGCTGATTCATCACGTGGCGCTATAGCGATTAGGAACCAGTTTCTGATGTTCTTTCATTCTCTGCTTGTGATATCTTGACAATCTCCTTTTTGAAAGGTGAAATTCAGTACATTTGTAGAAATTCTGGAGGTTTTATTCCATTGCTTTTTCAGGAATATGTCTAAATGCCATCTTTAGTAGCATACGGGCGCAAATGGAATATAGCCAGTGACGACTTTGTATTTCCTGAAATAACTGAAGCTCTTGTACGACTATCATGGTGAGTTCTGTCGTTCATTTTGATTTTGTTCTAGCATAAATTCAGATTTCCTCTATCTTAAAATCTCCTCGTATGGTATCTATCTTGGGTTGTTTGAGATTTGCATGAGTCACACAGTATGTGTCAATTCTCAACCTACGGATTAGTCATGGTTTCTCAAGGCCGGCTGTATGGCGTCGCGATGTGTATCTTGAGAATGTCAATGTTGCGTGCGTATGAAGACAGGCGGCGTAACCATTCTGAAGCTTTTGATCGATCTGTTCCATAGTGTATATGAAAAACTGATGGAGTTTTTCGCCCTTAAGTCAGCTGCGGAAGGTTGCTTGGACTCATGCGCTTTGTTTCTCCGCTTCCCGGCAGAGAACACTTAAGAGAAGTTACATGAAAGTTGTATTTGGGATATCTCGCTTGGCTAACTTTTAAACTGAGTTTTATGATCAAGCAGCCTTTGTGTATCGGCTCAGAAGCTCCTCTAGAGAACCTCTTTGTTTATCTTTTCAGCGGAAGGCACCATAGTAATGAACAGCGTTATTTTCACTTTGCAAGTTCGACTAGATTTTTCCTTCCCAATCTAGCCTTATGGCTTAGCTGAATGAGGTACAGCGCGATTAGTAGCCAGGTCTTCTGATAATTACCGTCCAGTTGTAAGGAGTCTTTACAGTAGTACATTTAGGGGGGAGCAGTACTTAAGTTTGTTTTCCTTTCCGTTGAGCTTTTACTTTTTGTTCTTTCAATCGACAAGGTTTGAACGGATTCGAGGGACTTTACGAGACTTTCAAAGATCTTTCTGAAGAAGACCCAGCGACCCTGATTCATGGCATCATTACATAGATTTCCCCGTATCAAAGGGTGCGCCACATCAGCACTGGGTGCAATTAGCCGCATAGAAGTGAACATTGAATGGCTCCGTCTCGATTGATGGAACTGAAAAATCGCTAACCTGGATCTGAAAGAATTCTTCTAATTTTCAAGGATGGCCTTCGCATTTGCCGTTTTCATCCTGCATTTTCCCTTATCATGTACCGGCAAGGATATGACGTTATCATTGCTGACACTCTTGTTCATCAATGGTGTGACAGTTGCATTAGGTGAGGATTATGTGATTCATCAAGGCTTTCCTATGTGTTTTTCTTGTATCATAGTTTCTTTTTTTTNTTTTTTTTGTTCTATTGAAAAGTTTGTTTTTTTTTGTTTTATTGGAACTTTCTAGCGGTTCTTGTGCTAAAAGAATTACTGCTTTCAGCATTACTAACGGCAGGGATTTCGGCCAAGGGTTCAATTATGCATCCACATCCTAGACGGCATGTCGCAACTCTTCTTTATATACGGCTACCAATATTTATTGTTGAAATTGTATTAACTGTGTTCTCCACTATAAGCGCTTTTCGTAAGCTTTGATTGAACAAGTATTTTTATTCGTTTGCCTTGTTTCGATTGATTACCGTGTATTCCAGGGCCTGATCCTCCTGATTCTGTGTGTCACTTCTCGAATATTTTAAAAGTAACTGTGAGCTTGGAATGGCTGCTAATTGTGAGCGTATTTGTTGGAGTGATCGTTGTATTCAATCCGGTCAATGAAGACAATCTTGAAGACAGTTCTGCTATCGCACGAAGGACATGGTCGAGAAGATTCAAGATTGTGAGTTTATTTATTCCATGACGATCCTTATGTATTTTTAGGCATTGTTTGAATTTTATTAATTGGGAAGCTGATAGTTTGTAACGTTTTTCAATCAAGTTTGCCTTTTTCAAGTAGATTTACTTTTTGGCGCAGTACCTTGCATAGCTCCTTGGTCCACAATTCCCTGCATGCCACCAGGAATTCAGTCAGCAAATACCACACAGCTGGTCTTATGAATTACATCCTTTTTTGTAGCCTAGGAGGTAACATACAGCTATGTAGGTTACCCTCGATCTCATAGGAAACTCAGGAAATCATATTCATGTGCGTTAGGATAGCAGTCCCAACCTTAGGCATAATATGTGGTATTGAAGTTGTTCACGTCCTAATGTTTTCTGACATGACTTATGACCTCTTTTTTCCCTTTCGGTGGTTTTAGCCGCGCTTTTGAATGAGTGCATTGCTCTATCGTTATTTTTGTTCAAAGCACGGGATTTTCCGCATAGATCCTTTGTGTTATCTCCTGTGAAACTAAGATTGTCGAAAAGCTCTCAAATTTCTCAATCGGTTATAGTCTTAGCAAATGCGAATTTGCATTCAAGTTTATAATTTAAGTTCACAATTCGACAAGAAGCACCGATGCGAGCTGCAATGGAAGATCTTGCCAATTTGGTGAGCTCGTTTTTCTCCGACATAGATGTCGTGTTCAGCGATGTTGCTGCCGGACTGTTTCTTCTCGCTCATTCGCCTGCTAACGTTTATCCACCTATTATACCTGCAAGCAATAGTGAGTTGTGATGTACAGTCTTAAAACTACCTGTATTTTGATTGACTGTCTTGTACGATGAGCTTTTTGATGTGAAATATACTAGATGAAGAGCCGAAGATTTTGCTTTTGCATTCTTTCAGAACGGCCTAGCTGGATGACAGCGGAAAACGCATTGCATTTTCAACACTTCTCTGCATCTGTATATGGGTGGCCGACATATTTACTACATAATTGCGGTCTAAGGGCTGTATACCGCCTAGTTCGTAAAATGCAATGCTGTGGGCGACTACGATGTGATCAGGTACGATACACGAGTTTTCTTCGTAAATGGGTTAGATGGCAGCGTGCGCATGGTTGAACAACCTTTGTTGGTCGTCGTTTAATTGAAATAGTGTCTAGTGTGTCTGGCCATCACTTTTGTGTGGGGATCGCTGTGTTGAACAGAGAGAGATTCATTACTAGAAGCGTGACTTGAGTAGAGTTTTGGTGATTTTCGATTGATTACTTGCAAACCTAAAAAAATTCTCCGTCACTGCTCGACGCTCCTTTATAATAAGAATAAGAAAGCTTTGTTTTAAAACTGGTAAAGTGGGGTTTTTCTTATTTTTCAGGCTTTAGTAAACTTAAGCGAAATATTTATAACGGAAAGGAAAGTCGTTGTTGTGAAAATGAGGGAACTCGTTGTCGTAAGGCCCCGCGGCTTTCTATGGGTATTCGATTTCCCTCACATCTGTATTTCTTTGTTATTACTGTGGCAAGGTTGCTGAGTTGCCATTCGTTTATTGTACAGTGTCCACAGTTACTCGGAAATCAGGATTTTACTAGCTTGTAGCATATATGCCCATTGAAGAATCTTTTTACGCAGATACCTTAGTTGAGCAAAGATGGCTGCTGTACTTGTAGTAGATCGCTATTGAATGAAGAGATGGGGACCGCCCATAACAACTTTGTTTCTGCTGTTTTCTTCAGTTCAAGGGTGCATGTAAGAGAATTACTAATTATTTGGAGGTTTCTTGAAAATCGAATAGTAGTGGGATAAAAATGAATTAAAGGTCAAGGAACTGAGTGAATAGTTAGGTTCAGCGGGTGTACCTTATAGCTCAATGGTGACGGAAAAACTTCAGGAGCTCGCTTGAAAAAGAGGAAATGATTGTTTTTGTTATTGACGTTTTGATTTTATAATTTATTTTGGGAGCACGATAAGTTCGAGTCGAACTGGAATTGTACCATTTCCAACGCGTCAGAGTTCAATGTGTTTGTGCATCCTTTTTATTGAGCCCCTTGCTTTTAAGAGAGTGGGGTTACTGTGATGATTCAACACTTTGTTAATCGTTTTGCGGCTCTAGGCATATGTGTTCATCGAACAGGGAGGTTTGTACGACTAGATCGAGAGCGAGGTAGCCAAGCATGGTTTCTGTGTTTGTTGCCGACCTCTTTACAGTTGTCACTGTCGTGTTGCTGACATCGTAAAACTATCTAACACATGACTAATGTTCCCCTCCGTAATTGCCTAACACCTACTACGGGACCTCTGCGAGACATTCACGGGGATTAAATTTATTTGTAAGCTTCTGGTTAACATCTGTAATCACCGGGTTATGTCGTAAAATGTAAGTTTCTAGATGAATTTTTTGTGTCTTACTTAACTAACTTGGATAAATTGTGTCAGTGTGCTTAACATTTGCTCAGTGTTGTTAGCCGTTATCGTATTAGTCGCGATTTATAGAAGGATAATGGTGACATGGTCATGCATAGCATCCGTAGCGGCCGCGATACCCAAGTCGAACGGAATGAGCTGTCCAAACCGAGTGTTGAGGTTCGAATGTTATGGTTTTGTGTGAAGGACAACTCTGCTTTGACGGCTTAGTACGCAGTAATATCCAGTCGTAATGCTATCTATGTTTATTTGTGAAAATAATTAATCAGCGGTGTAACCCGAAGTTGAATTGGGATTTGCTACCTTATTTTGATAGCTCAAACTTGATCTTGGAACAGAAAATAGTTTTAATTTGGTGTTAGGAAGCTCGTGGCCGTCGTGAAACTTTCACAAAAATCCTAGAGTATTTCGCGAAATTAGTTTTTTTTTTCTCTTTTTTCGGCTTTTTATTCTTCAGATTGTTCCCACAGTTCTTTCTTGTTTCTCTTCGATTACAGTCATATGCGGACTGTCCTTCATTTGACGAAGTTATGAAACTGTGGCGGCCTGTTGAGTAGTTTGTTTACATTGATTCAGATTTTTTATGAAACATCGCGTTACAAAGTGCCAACTTCGACACAAATTTGTCATATTTATACCTCTCGTTTTGACTTGATGTTTTGAGATAAAAACGGTAAAGTGTGCATGAATCGATTCACGCACTCGTTACCCTCTTCCACGACCCATAATTGTCAGGGGTAAACGGTAAAGGTTACAACAACGTGGGCTATGAATATGTCTCAGAAGAGAATCTCATTTCTATGCGGTTTCAAGCGAGTTGATAAAGCTTTACGACTGGAATCGAATGCAGCAGTTTCAGATAACATGAGTTGAGGGTCCATTGAGATGGCGTTTATTTCCTTACCCCGAATGTACATAGACAAAGGGTGAGGCTATGAAATACCATGGGTTTCTGTGAACAACTCTCATAATGCATATTTGCGTAGGATCCAAAGGATCCTGAGTAGGATTAAGTTATAGAGCTGTTTGAGCTGGTTCACTTTTGGTGCACTAACCTTTGCTTTACTAGCTTTCATTATTACCCGTGACTAGTGGAATTATGATAATTCATAGATCTGCTTTTTTATGGTAGAATGTTCCCAAACTTTTAAAGTGCTTTTTCAGGTACTAATTGTTGAGGATAATTGTTGTTTCTGCAATACAGCGGCTTTCACGCTGGCCACGGAAGATAAGAATGTCGATTTGTTCTTCGTCTCATTCCGGAATGGACTGTACGAGGTGAAGACGCATTTTTGTGGTGTTGATCATCGAATAAATAAGAACTTGATGAGTTATTTCGGGTACCCGTTCCGGTTTGTTTACCCAATTTTACTGATATTCCCAGAGATTTTGCTCTAAAAGCGTAGGAAGATTAGTGGAGAATCAATCCCCNTTCATAGATCTGCTTTTGATAATTTTTATGGCAGAATGTTCCCAAACTTTTAAAGTGCTTTTTCAGGTACTAATTGTTGAGGATAATTGTTGTTTCTGCAATACAGCGGCTTTCACGCTGGCCACGGAAGATAAGAATGTCGATTTGTTCTTCGTCTCATTCCGGAATGGACTGTACGAGGTGAAGACGCATTTTTGTGGTGTTGATCATCGAATAAATAAGAACTTNCTTTTTCTGTTCCTACGAGGGTGAGGCCATCTTTGTTTCGTGCACTTTAAACACTTTTCGGTAGCTTTGATACCTACTAAATTTCAGAAGTAATTCAATATTTTAGGTGCCTTTCGTGGTGTTGGCTGATCATGAAACTCGCAGTATTGTTATCACAATTCGTGGATCTTGTTCATTGGTCGATCTCGTGACCGATCTTTGCTTAGGTTTGTGAGGCTTTTTGGTAATGGAACATCAGATGTGTGTAAAGTTAGGAGCATGCTTTTGTCGCGCGAGTTTGTTTCTCTCTAGGGCCGCAGAAGCTTGAGTTAAAAGCGGATCCCCTAGCAAATCAACACCTGAAGCTGGCGATACATGTTATGGAGCAATCATGACAATCCAGAAATGCTTGGCAGAAGGAAATCGATGACTGTCTGAGGGAATCCATAAAGTTGATAATTCCTATTGTCAGATGACGAAGTGCTGTCGATAGATGTTGATGCTGATCCATTGTTACGAACTGATGCCACATTAGATGCAGAAGGAGAAGTAAGAGTACACAGAGGAATGCTAATGAGTGCACGATACGTTTTTGATACTCTCAGGTATGTTTCCAGAGGTTTCGGGGTAGTCCCTAATCGAATCGACATCTATTTGTATGCTTTCTATGCCTAAATTGTGATTTGCTACAAGGGAATTTCTGTATAGGTTTAGAGAGTCGAATTTCTTAAGATATTGACCAATTTAAAAGATTTATAGAAAGGAGGTGTTGAATCTGTGCTTTGAAGAGCTCTTCTTCTGTTTCAGAAGACATTCAGTGCTCGAAGACCTTGCCGTATTGAACACCAACTATCAGCTTGTGGTTTGTGGGCATTCACTTGGTGCCGGTGTTGCTTCGTTACTTACGTTGTTACTCAAGTAATATCTAGCGGAATCGCCAGTTGTTATTTTTCTTCGCTAGGATTATTTTTGTTTGTGTTTCGAATTTATATATGTTCCATGGTTGCAGACAAGAATACCCCGATGTCAGATGTTTTGCGTTTGCTCCACCTGGATGCGTAATAAGCGGAAACGGTTTACATGAAATGGAACAGCACGTAATGAGTATTGTCAGCGGTGACGATGTTGTATCACGGATATCGTACCATGTAACTTTTTCCTTATCTTCGAAAGTTCTATGTGGTCTTAATATGTTTTTTTCGACTAATTCCCAATATTTTTTTTGCTTGCTACTGAGGCGAGCTTTTTTCCATTCTTTTTTTTTTCTTGGTTAGCATTCTCGTTAGTTTTAAGCGGTCTTATCATTTTTTTTTTGAAAAATTCCGATATTTCTTATACCGTATAAACTGCAGCAGACTTTATTTGCCATTTTTTGGTAAGGTAAAGTACAGAATACATATGGCTAGTGGTACAGGGCGCGTATTTAACGTCGCAACATACTCGAAACCGAATTTCCCTTCAAAGCATGCATGGAATGAGGTGCGAATTGGATCAGATTTTAGTCTTCATTCCCAGTAATTTCTTCTTTCCACTTTTCGATGCGGCTTTGTTCGACATGATGGCGGCCTTGCGCACACAATACAGAGTCGTCTTTGTTGCTATTACGGACTGTTCTCTCCGCCACTTTGAACTCCTTAGCCATCTTCTTCATGCTTCGTTTCGGTTCCGATGTATCCTGCTCCTGATGGCACCAGCGAGCTGCTCTGTCGCATCAGTCACCGTTCTTCTTTTCTGAGCGTGCTTATGCGTGAGCCTACCTCGTGACGGCTTTTGGCACGGGAGGGCGTTGAGCTAGGCAGTTTGATCTTGGCAAGCGCCAATTCACGGGCGTGCAAATAGACAGTGGAAGCATGGTGGACACAAGACCTGATAATTTTCTTCAGACTGATTGGATTTGTGCGACAATTCGAAGGCAAGTAGCGAAGAGTCCGACGAATATTAAAATTGGGCGAAAATGTAGTTGGGGGGTGGGGAACCCATTCAAAGGCTAGTATATCAAGAAATGAACTCAATGAAACGTGTTATGCCGTGTTATATCACGGACATGCCAGTTTTTGTATGAAGGCTTTCGTAAGGAAAGAGCACTGCGGTGGGCAAGTTTTCTTTCTTTTTTTTTCTTTTTTTCCCATGATGTAATCATTCCAGCTACCCAGGTGCTGCTACTCTTCCTAGGCTTGTTTGGGAAATTAAATTTCCTTAGCTGAAACCGCATGAAAGAGCACGGTTGGTCGGTTTCCATCGTCCTCCTCGCATCCGATACAGTGC